TGCTACAGACACCACAGCTTATATGACCACCCTGTCTCTGTACTGCAGACACCACAGCTTATATGACCACCCAATTTCCCTGCCATGATCACGTGGCTCTTCCTCCTCCTTTCTATCTTGAAACCAGTCGCCTAGCTTCTGTGACGTTCACCCATGATCAAGTCCTAATTAGGTTCTCTTGCTGCCCCCCTCTGGCTACACCCGGTGTATGTTTCCGCAGTGGTACTGTGTGAGGAACAAACATCTGCTATTTATTTCATGTCACACTTCAGCGCTTCCTACTTTTCATCCCAAAGCCAAAACTCCACCTGTTCCAGCCATTCTCATTATAACCCCCCAGCTGCTGTACTGCTGTTTTCCACTTAAGTAGGATAGATGAACTGCAAGTTATTAAATGAATCACAAAATCACTCCTGTGTTTGATGCCCCACCCCCAAGAATCCTCCCCATCCTGGATTATTCCCTTGCCTTCCCTTACCCTTGTCACTTCCAGGATAGGCTCCGGACCCTGCATAGAACAAGCAGGTACAGAAAATGGATGGATGGATGGAAGGATGGATGGATGGATTGATTTTTTCCCCTATAATGTTATCATGCCTGGGGGGGGGGGGGGGGCAGCCAGTTGACCTTGGACCCCCAGAGGTTTTTTTTTCTCCCTACTTGGGAGTTTTTAGTTCTTCTCTTCCGTTGTCATCTGGCTCTTTCTTTCATTGCTGTCTTTCCATTTCTTTGTTTTTAAGAACATAAGAACTATACAAACGAGCACGCTTGGGGAGAACTTAACTAATAGCTCAGAGTTATGGATGTATTATTCTCTCTTAATGATGTTGCAATGTTTCACAATACACCCATGTAAAGCACCCTGGGGCGACACTGTTGTGAAAGGCGCTATACATATATATAAAAAAAAAATGAATTGGATGGATGGATGGATGGAGTTTGGAAAAGCATTTTCCCTGAGTTCAATATGTACCACGCCATTAGTTTTATTGAGGGGTGTACCAGATGAAACAAAATGCGTCTGTTCATTAAATTTCATTTATAAAGAAAATCCGGATTGTGTGCCTTTAAAGCAGAGATGTTCATCGTTTCAGGCAAAGTAGAATAAATTGCTTTGCATCCCTACATATAGGAAAACTTAGTGGTTGGATGTACCTGGTGTTTATATTGATATTAAAGAGAAACATAGCTTGAGGAATAAAAGAGTTATGTGTAATAAATTTTTGCATTTGTTTTAATCAAACTTCAATTAGGAAATGTATCTGTGGTTGTCTGTGTTTATAGAAATGTTATTTTGTATAACGTGTAACATACGTCTGTGATAGGCCAGGAATGGTGGTTGTCATGACATTTTAATGTGTTGCATACACAAGTCAAAATATAACATGAATTACGCTCTTTTTATTAGTTACTTTTTATCACTACTATTCCTGGGGATTCCTCCACCATTTGAAAGTCTCATGTGTGGTTCCTCGATGGTGGAGCTAACTACCCAGCCACATCCTGTCATCAGAATCCCTCTCAACCAGCAAGAAATGCCTCGAGACCCATTTGTTCAAGGAACTTCTCTACAACCCCTTAGCTGGTCACTTGCCTGTCCTGAATGGTCTTGTTTTTGCACTCGACACTGATTTGAATTGATCTTATTGATCTCATGAGGTTCCTGCTTAGTTCTTCGTAATTTATTGCAAAGCACTTGCTGTGGTACTAAGCTGCACTTGTACTTGTTACTGGTCTCTCACTGGAGGCTCAGCCCAGCTGCACTAATGGCTCGTTGTGTCCTGGACAGCTGCAGGTACTCTCCACCTCACTTCTACGTTGCTTTGGACAAAATTATAGGCTGAATAAATAAATGTAAATGTTCTCAGGTCTCATGGCTCAACCTGCATTCGCGAGAACCTAACATTGGAAAGACTGTATGTCAATTGTCATTAAACTCACTAGATGACAATGGAGTTAATATCCGTCATCCACTGGAGGTGCCTGGAGCCAAGATGAGAAGCAGGGACTGGATCCAAAGCCCCAGCCTGGAGGTGTGAGGCAACAGTGCCGTTCACAGCCCCAGAGGCTTGTTCATCAACAGGAACTCAAATCAATTACATAAAGTGTCATTCATCAGCTGATTACAGGCTGGGAACCACTGGAGCCCCTCGAAACCCGAAATCTCTGCTGAACCATGCAAATATTTCTCAGCCAGATCTTGCCCTGCAGCCCAAACCCCATATCCCATTCTGCTGATTGGAGCCCAAACCCCGTATCCCATTCTGCTGATTGGAGCACTTGGTGAGGTGTCACCAATCTTCATGGGATCACAGTGACCCTCTGGGGATTTGAAACATTTTTCCTAAGAATAACTAGCAAAGAATATTCTTATCCCAAAAAACTACAACCACAGTATATCTTCTCAGGTTGTCTAAGTTTCATACCTACTGTTTACTCAGTCTATCACAAAACTGAATGGTCATTTGATTCCAGCTCTGTTCACAAACTCCACTGCCTGCCAGTCGCCCGCATACAGCTGTGCTGCCGCCTCTGCTACTGGAAACCTGCATTCTGGGGTGGTTACTGGTCATGCTGGGAGCTTTACTGCAGTCAAGCTCATCGTTTCCCACCAGCTGAGCAGGCACTCATCACTCATACGTAATCGAAGGAAGGTGTAATGGCACTTCTACAATAAGCATTCATCTGATGAATTGCCCAACTCATTTTCAGCAAATTAACACATCAAGATGAAGTCTCGTATTCACATGCCAGTTTCGCAACTGTTTCCACGGCTCATTCACTGCTATGCTAACTTAAAGATGGAAGGGGGGGGTTATGTTCTCAGTGCCCCTGCCCCCATCTTGCCCCCCCACGCCCCAGCCTCCATGGAATGCCACCTACCTCCTTCTGATGGTACTTGATGGCCAGTTTCAGCTTGGCCAGGTCATGGCACTCGCGGGGGTCGAGCTCTTCACTGTGATCATCGCGGTGGTTAAGTATGATCTCCAGCTCGCGGGAGCTGCGTGCCTGGTCCAGTAGGTCCTTGGCAAAGTGCTTGCACTGCTGAGACAGCTCCTCGTACTCCTGCCAGAACTCATTCTCCACCTTGCTCAGCTCCTTCAGCTCCCAGCCCAGGCGGAAGGCGGTGAGGATAGGATCCTCGCTGGAGAGGGCGATGAGTGATGGGCTGGCCAGTGCCCGGTAGACGTTGAGGCGGGAGCGAGAATGGCGCAGGCTGTCCACCTCGGAGCTGGAGACACACTCCACGCAGTCGCAACGGATGCGGTGTGGCCGTGGTATGCTCACCTCGCGCTGCACCAGGAGCTTGATGATCTCGTAGTTATTGGTGTGAGCAGCCAGCATGATCGGCGTGATGTCAGGGGTGAACTCTGAGAACTGGCTGTCCATCATCAGCGAGGGGACCTGATGGGGCAGAGGGATGGACGGCACAGGGTGAATAACTGAAAAGATGAACACAAAGGCTGCGGAGAAGGAGTAAGGAGCATATGAGAACAGCCGTGTTTTTTCAGACTGAGCGGCAGGCTAACAGGCCGAGCTCTTCAATTTTAATTCCACACAAAGCCACCAGCTTAAAGGCCTCTCTAGCTACATGCTTTCCGCTGTGAACGGCAAATGAGTGAACAAGGCGGGAGGATGCAGGCGAGACGCAGGGCCACGGCAGCCCAGAGATGCAGCAAATATATTTTCATTTACACTATGTAAAAGAGGCAAGAAAATAGATGCATGCGAGAGTGCTGGAAATGAGGATGTATCGTCCGAGGGCAAGCTGAAATTGCTTTTTCTTCCCCATAATTTCATCTGCATGCTGAATGTATCTATCTGTACAGCTGTATTCACTGGGAAGGGAAAAAAGAAATATTACGCATTATTTCAACGCAATAACCAACTGATTGGTTTCAATTCGTTTTCATGAATCGCCAAACAGAGTTTCCGTTGGGGGGGGGGGATGTAGCCCTCGTACCTCCAGGACGCCCCCTTCTGTGTGTGTCTGTGTGTTTGTGTATCTGTTTGTGTGTGTGTGTGTGTGTGTGTGCATCTATGTGTATCTGTGTGATCCAGGTATACATTACATTGTGGGGACCAAAAACCTGCTATTTTGACGCCATTCTTTTGGTCCACACAAGGGGAAATTCAATTTTATAAAATCTGTGACTGCAATCAAAAAACTAAAATTGCCAAAAGTCTTTTAAAGTGTTTTATTTGGTTATTTATGGTTATGGTTAGGGCTGCGTAGGGGTTACGGTATCATTGTTGGGATTAGGGTTATGCCCATAGAAATGAATGGACGATCCTCATCTGTATGAGTATAGGTCTGTGTGTGTGTGTGTATGTCTGTGTGTGTGTCTGCGTGTGTCTGTGTGTGTGCATGTGTCTGTGTCTATGTGTGTGCCTGTGTGTGTGTGTGCGTCTGTTTGTGTGTGTGTGCGTGTGTGTGCGTGTCTATGTGTGTGCCTGTGTGTGTGCGTGTGTGTGCGTCTGCGTGTGTGTGCGTGTGTCTATGTGTGTGCGTGTCTGTGTTTGTGCGTCTGTGTGTGTGTGTCTGTGCGTGTGCGTCTGTGTGTGTGCGTCTGTGTGTCTGTCTGCGTGTGTGTCTATGTGTGCGTGTGTCTATGTGTGTGCGTGTCTGCGTGTGTGTCTGCGTGTGTCTGTCTGTGTGCGTGTGTGTGTGTGTGTGTCAGTGCGTGTGTGCGTCTGTGTGTGTGTGTCTGCGTGTGTCTGCGTGTGTCTGTCTGTGTGCGTGTGTCGGTGCGTGTGTGTCTGTGTGTGTGCGTCTGTGTCTGTGTGTGTGTGTCTGTGTGTGTCGGTGTGTCTGTACACTGCAATGGACTGGCATCCAGGCCGGTGTGTCCCGCCCTTGCACCCTGGGCTTTGTGAGATCTGGGATCACTGTGGGCCTCAACTGGATAAGTGGTTATAGAAGATGGATGGATGGATTCATTAATGAAGAAAAATTAACTCATTTATTTCACTGTGAGGTTTGGGATCCCTGAAGAATCACGTTATTCACATATTATTAATTAATTATTTTACGAATTGTTTCATGTGAATTTGCTGATCGGAGATCTGGTCTCCTTCACATTTCCTTACTCTCTAATGCAGCCTTTGTTTGACTTCATGGGAGTCTAGGGTACCAGCAAGTACCTGCAGTTATTTAGTCAATGGATGCCTGTTAGCAGGAGTTCCACAGCACTGCAAGACAACTGGTGCTGATCAGCCATCTGGGGGCTTGTGAGGGTGTGAGACGTGGTGGATGGGGAGTCTCAGTTACTGGAAGGCAAGTCTGGAACATTCTCAGTCAAACTAATTAGTTTTGTGCTTGCTGCACGATACACGTGGCACTACTCAGGAAACACACTGGAGTAGAGGACACATGAGAAACAGATGAGCTTGAACAACTCTCCACAATAAGAATTTCAACATGAAAAATCAACCCTGGCTATGAACACAGACAGTAAGCTAATGCAAAGCCCAGAAGCCATTCAGAAAAGTGGCCTTCAGCGCCCCTACAGGTACTCCTGAGAACCTCGCCTGGCACCATACCTGCTTCTCCCCGCTGGGCCGGCGGTGGGACAGCAGCAGCTCCACGGCTCCCACCACCTCCTTGCGGATGGCGTAGAGGAGCGCGTCGCCCACATACACCCCATGGTTGAGGAGGAGCTCCATCACCTCCAGGTTCTCGTTCTCGATGGCGATGAGCAGGGCACTACGCCCAAGGGGGTCGATGCAGTTCACGTTGATGTTGTAGTAGATCTCAGCCTCCAGCAGGGCATGCTTCACCCCGGCGTAGTCGCCCTTCTCCACTGCCGTCAGGTAGGCCTTCTCTTCGGCCGACAGCTCCGCCTCCGCCCGCACAATCTGCAGCGGGATGCGGTCGCGGTATGGCGAGTAGCTCACCTTCTTGTAGTACAGCTGTGCCATTGGGTTCATGGTGCAGAGTCACTGCCTGGGAGTGAAGAGGAGAAGGAAGATGAAGTGAGATGGAGCGTAAGTATGAGCGAGGGCCTCTAAACGGTGTACAGTGTGTGTACCAGTGACAGCCGACGTCCAGTCTGGGGTGTCCCTGGCCCCTAAACTGTCCACAGTATGCATACTGGTAATGGGCAATGTCCTGTCCGTAAAAGTTTTTCCACCTTCCAAGCAACATAAAAACACAGAATAGACACGCACGGATTGTTCTCCAAACTAAATCAGAAATCTGGAACCCCCCCCCCTACCTAGACCATTTCCCCGGTCTCTGTCTTCAGAGGGGCTTGTTGAGCAAGCACACCCCAGCTCCGAAATGCCCACCCCCGGTATTATGAGCATGATTCCCATGAAGGGCCACTGGGCTGCTGTCCTTCCTAAATCACCACAGATCACCGGCGTAGGACATGAACAGGTCACGCCCAATTAACAGATGGGTCGTTAGGAGCAGAGAATCGATTTGATTGGTTACAGGATGCAAAAACCCTTGGAAATGGACTGGGCTGCACTATGAACGCTGCGGAATTACCAGCGAATCAGATCCGCCTGACGCTCCTCTTCGTTCACCTGTCGCTGCGGCTCATGCAAATGAGGGAGCCGAGAAATGAAGGCTGGGAACGACATGGCAAGAAACCGGGCAATTAAGGTGTTTTCCGGAACCAAGGCTGCGGCCATGCGGGATTTATTGCCATGTCCGTACGCGGCGGTGATGGGGCCTCAGTCTGGGGGACCAGCGTGTCCTCAAAGGGACACTCCCACGCTCCTCAGACCACTGGATTTCTCCCCGTCGACTCGTCATCCTGCCAGCTCTCCATCTTGGCTGAGGGTATAAGGCGTATCCATGGAAACAGGAGAACCGCACGAGGCTGGTGCCGGTGCGGAGGCCGTGGGAAACCTGCCCGCCAAAGGCAGGCCGCGATACCCATCCATCAGACGGCAGGGAAGGCGGGACTCGTAATGTGAATTTAGCTGAAACGGCAGCGTCTCTACCTGCATTGCCTGGCCACATTCCAGCTCCGAACACAGACATCTGTTACGTTAAACAGCCGATTCACGCTTAATCAGTGCAAACCACTCCAAAAAGAGTACATACCCCATTAGCAAAACCAAACAAAAAAACAACATTTCACCATTATGCATTTTTCTCATTTCCAAAAGTAAGCCTTGTGACCCAGACTAGGACAGGAAGCTAGAATAAGTAGTTACTTTTCCTAAAATTCCAACCAAGAAAGAAGCATTTTAATCCGATCCCAGATAAACACCTTCCTACAGCTGTTACCTGCGTTTGGTAATCGAGCCTGCTGGTTTCACATCACCAGTTACTGTGACGCCTAAAAAAGAAAAAGCATCAGCGAGTGTAACTTCAACCAGCTAGTGACGGACGAAGGGAAGCGCAGGCAGGAGCTGCAGCGAGTGCATGAGAGCGGCCATTGGCGGCACAGAGAGGAAGGGGAGCGCAGGCAGGAGCTGCAGCGAGTGCATGAGAGCGGCCATTGGCGGCACAGAGAGGAAGGGGAGCGCAGGCAGGAGCTGCAGCGAGTGCATGAGAGCGGCCATTGGCGGCACAGAGAGGAAGGGGAGCGCAGGCAGGAGCTGCAGCGAGTGCATGAGAGCGGCC